CGTCCCCCTGAGGTCAGCTCGCGCCCCGCTGAGGTCAGTCCGCGTCCCGCTGAGGTCAGCTCGCGCCCAGCGCTGGTGTCACAGGCTGGCCGACGCTCCTGTCTCTCTGGGAATTCTAAATCGGGAGAGAAAAACGGCACCCAAAAACGGCCCACGGTGACGACGACTGTGCCGGAGCCAATGCCGCTGCCCGCTGGCTGGCGGGGCTGATGACATGGAGCTTCTGACGGCTGGCGGGGCTGGCGACACGGGGCTTCTGCCGGCTGGGGGGCTCGTGACACGGGTGTCACTGTCGGCTAGCCGGTTCGTGACACTCTGCTGGCTGGCGGGTTCGTGACATGGGGCCTCTACCGGCTGGCGGGGTTCGTGGTACGAGGCCTCTGCTGGCTGGCGGGGCTCGTGACACGGGAGCCTCTGCCGGCTGGCGGGGCTCGTGACACAGGAGCCTCTGCCTTTTGGCGGGGCTCGTGACACAAGAGCGCTGCCGCCCTCTGGCGGGGCTCGTGACACGGAGCCGCTGTTCTCTGGCAGGGTTCGTGACACGGGCCGCCCGGCCAAATGCGTCATGTGAGGCACCGGGATCGAACAGGTGATGTTTAGAGAGCGGACTGGGACGTAGAAAAGCCGCACGCTGTCCAAAATAGAGTGGAACTAGGGCATCCTTCACACGAAAGACAGCAGAAATAACATACCTCACCATGATAAATTAGATAGCAGAACTGATGGGTTTTGTACCCATTGACCTTGAGAGCATACACCGGCGCGTGCTTAGCTGGACAGCATGCACGTGCAGTAGAACAGGCAAAGGAGAGGCACAGGGGCACGTTCCCCCTCCCCCACCCACCCCCCTCGGTTCCGAGTGGCCGGATCTGAGAGCCCGAAGGGCCCGAAAGGTCTGCCGAAGGTCATACTCAGAGGTCCGGCCCGTCGGGCCGGGCACTCAAATGCCAGCCAGAGGGCCTTGCGAGCTGATCAAGGGCCTCCTGAGTCCATAAGGGCCTATAAGTCGGTCAGACACCACCAGTAACCCACATTCGGCTCCGTTGCGACATGGGCTTGATGGTCTATGTCCCAAGCAGGGACAAAGCCGGATCAGCCGATTTAGCCGATTTACGTTGGTCGGAGACCAAACGGCTGTCAGGGCCTACAGCACCTAGCCAGGGCCCCGTGTTGGAAACGGGGCTCCGAGTCGACCAGAAGCAGTGTTCGAGGAGGCCCGAAGGGCCTAGAGAGCCCACCGGGTCCAACGATGAAAGGCCCGATAGTAGGGTCTAAGGGCACAAAGATCTGGTCGGAGTCTTATTCAGGGGGCCGACCTTCGAGAAGGGTCCTTAAATGACAGTCAGGGGGGTCTTTGCGCCGATCAGGAGCCTCCTGATTCCTATGGGCTTATACATCGGTCAGGCACCAAAGGCACTGCACGGTCGGCTCCGTGTCGGCACGGGCCTGCGGGCCCACTTCCCATTCATCTACACAGCCGGGACCATTGATTTACACTGGTCGGGCCCTGGTATCTGTCAGGGCCTCTCTGTGGGGCCTGACACGCCCCAGGGCCACACTGTACTTGTAAGGCCCCGAGCCGACCAAGGGCAGTGTTCGGTGAAGCTCGAAGAAGGGCCCGGGAAGATCATCAACTAAAAAGCGCACAGGTGAAATATACGCCCGCACTACCTTCTAAACGAACGAGTTGATGTCCCAAAGCGTTCAAAGGCACTTCTTTCAAACGCGTCGTTACGTCCACCTCTTGGCCACGGCTTAGTGTTAGCTGCGGAACCGACCCTGCGCGGTCTAAGGAGACTGCAACGCCTGACATCGGGGTTCGTTTTACCAAGATATGCGAGCGAGCATATTGAAAACTACATGACATAACTCGCATCACTTCGCGATTTTGAATGAATATTGCGAAGTACCTGCTGGGTGGGAAGAAAAGGGGAGGGGTATGATCCCCATAAGCCAGTCCGTGCATCAGCAAAGTACGGATGTCACGCTCCAGACTACCTGCTGGATGGGAAGAGAGGGGAGGATTACGATCCCTATAAGCCAGTCCGTGCCTCAGCATGGTACGGATTTCACGCTGCATAGTACCTGCTTGATAGCTGTTTCTAACGAACATTATTGGTAAACTTGAATAGGGACATTCCGATCGGACCATTTAAGTTCGCCCATTTAAGGGCGAACTTAAACATTAAACATTAAACATTAAACATTAAGGACATTTAAGGACCATTTAAGTTCGTTTTTGGCAAGTCTTGATCCAATATTTCCGGGATATTTAACAGCTGTGTTCAAACAGCTGTGCATCAAACAGCTGCATTCGACTACAAATGGCCATATGGTGGGCATACGGGCTTTTGCAGACGTCAGCTTGCGTTTCAAACACAAACAAAGCCAAGTCCAAGCGGGCGCCAGAATTTAATACAGCTGAAAAGTGAACTGGACTGCATCGCACAACAAACTGGACAAACCACACCCAATTTCAGACCCCGACGGATGCAACTTCGAATCAGGCATAGCATGCTAGCCACAAAAAGTTGCTCCTCTTGCTCCGTATTACCGATGAGAACGAATGCCGCCATTGTTCGCGGCATACCGAAACCATTTTGCGCGCGTTTTGACAGTGCGCAACGGCACAGCGGTGTTGGACAAGTGTGTTGCGGAAATTTCAAAACACCGCTAGCGACATCACACGCCGTCATCTTGGGCCTGCAGCCCGGTGGGGTGAGGGTAGGGGCACAGGAGAACAGCATTCACCGATGCATCCCCCTAGGGATGAGGTTCATCTGGCGGCGTCGATGTGCTTCAGTGGCGCATCCGTCGATTGATTTACTGCATTTGTAGCCAGCCGTGCTGCAGCTGACAAGTACGTGGCGCAATGTCACGAAAAAATGGATAACTTTGATGAAGAATGGTAAGCGTGGTAATCGAGCTTGCCTCCTGATGCTCGACGCCACCTTCAGAAAATTTGATAGTGATTCACCCAGTAAGTCGCTTGGGGGCTGCAATGATGTCGAGACCCGCCAGGAGCTACTAATAGACGCGATTATTGCGTAAGTAGCTTCAGTTGCTACCAGCTGTACTGGATCATGATGGAAGGCATGATCTCTCTAGCGAAGAAGTCGCGGTAATCACCCAGATACTTCATCGAGTTGTCCCCGTCGTAAGTACCCCCACCCCCTCCCCGTCCAGTCTTCAGACCGCCGCGCAGGGTCCGCTGTCGCCCTACGCCTGACTACTCGGTGGTGGTGTGCCCCGCCTTGGATGCTGATTATAGCGAAACATGCACACGGTTTGGACTAGTCTGGCGGCTCTGGCTGGAGACATCCTCCGTTCGGATCTGGGGATGAGGTGCCGCGGTGTAAGGTTGTATTTTGATGGTCCCCGACACGCCAACTGCATGTTTTTCCTGTGGGCTCGCTGGTTTCCTGCACCGCGCTTTTATCGCGGACGACGCGAGTACGCTTCGGCCAAACTGGACGACGGTTGCTGAATATTCCCGCGGAGTATTCACCACCCAGCCGAGGTCACTGACAGCACTGGGGCTGGCCCCGTCTGGTATTGAGGTTCGGCTGCCAGAAACACGACCATTTACTAAACACCGTCGTTCGCTGTCGAACTGACGCCTGCCAGCTCCGCCGCCTCCGCGTGACTGGGGAGGCGAGGGGATGTTGCAATCGCAGTCCAGCGGTTCCGGGCGTGTCTTTCACCGGGTAGGGCGCTTTGTTTGGAGCCCGTAGTACGGAAAGGTCAGCTGGCGCTTGGCCAGGCCGGGGGGACCCTGGCACGGGCAGCTCTATGGAAGAGCTGTGCATCGAAAGACAGAGCCTTTTCGTTTCCGTCAAGCTAACAAGGCTGGAACAGCACTCCCACTTCTTGTGCGGTACGGTAGGGCTGCACGCAAGGCTCTGAAAATGGTGCAACAGTACTCCTGAGAATATAACCTAAAGTATTGCTTGGTCGAGCGATACTGAGATTGAACCTGCGCTGTGACTGTTTTGTTGCGGGTGGTGCACACCATCTGATAGCTTGGTCAAATACCATCGGAGATTTTAAACGGGCCAAGCCATGCCACAGCACGGCCGCCCAGTGATGCTTTTAATCCCCGTGTCGGGTAAATACGACACCCTTGACGGAAAGCGAACCGGCTTGTTTGTCTGTCCCAGATCCACAGAATCTGCCACTCGCTGCGGTCCGAGGTCGGCCCTGTATCCTTTCACGTCATCAGGACAGCGATAGCTCATGTAGCCCTCTGAGCCCAAAGCCCCAACCCACCCTCTCCTATACATCGTTAGAAATAACAGGTGCTTAAAACCTTGGGAAGGTATCCGACAGCCCGAGCGTGGCAGCGGCTCTGGAATCCACCACGGGGCCCTAATGCGGACACTCCCAGCCGCCACTGCAGAGGTCTTCTACCCGCCAGCTGACAGCCTCACCAGCTGCTCATAACCCACCCACGCGAGGCAGCCCGACCGCGGCGGATGCCGCTGTCGTCGACTGGCCGCTGCCCGCAGGCCGCACACGGGCGGCGGACGGCGCCTGACGCCCCACCGGCGTTCCACAGGCGCTTCACCGGCGCCCCACCGGCGCTCTACCGGCGCTTCACAGGCGCTCTACCGGCGCTCCACTGGCGCTCCACCGGCGCTCCACTGGCGCTCCACCGGCGCTCTACCGGCGCTTCACCGGCGCTCTGCCGGCGCTTCACCGGCGCTCCGCCGGCGCCCCACCGGCACCCCATCGGCGCTCTACCGGCGCTCCACTGGCGCTCCACCGGCACCCCACCAGCACCAAACCGGCGCTCCACTGGCGCTCCACCGGCGCTCCACTGGCGCTCCACCGGCGCTCCACTGGCGCTCCACTGGCGCTCCACCGGCGCCCCACCGGCGTCCCACCAGCGCCCCACCAGCACCAAACCGGCGCTCCACTGGCGCTCCACTGGCGCTCCACCGACGCCACACCGGCGCCCCGCTGGCGGCGCCCCGGTCGCGAGCACTCCGACCACTCACCGGCGCGCAGCTCTGGATGCCATCGTGGCCGAAGAAGTACTCGCGTCCGAAGGCGACCACGCCCGTGTGCCATATGCCGTCCAGCTCCTTGCCTGCGGACAAACGCGGCGCTGCGGTCAGAGATCGCGCCACACACGCAGCTCACACGATTGTGTGCTGTGAGGTTTGTTTAGCGGGTTCAAGTACTGTGGAGACGTTGGGAGGACGAACGGATGTGCGGTATCTTCTCGTTGTTAGCGAGCATCGCGATGTGTCTCCTTCAGCCGCAGCATTCAAACATGCGAAACCGCTGTAAGCATTTCGGTTGCCCACGTTACGAGCCTGCGCACCAAAAGACAAAGCGGCGCGACACCAACATCAAGACCCGATCGGCCACCTAGACCAGCCAGTGCATGCGCAGCGAGTCGAGGTCTATAACTGCCTGAGGACCGTGGCTGGCCAGACGTTTATCAACACCTCACTCAGCTGGCGGTTGGCTTACCACAAGCCACAAATATGAGTGTGATTGCAAACAAACCGCGAAGCACCCACCGTGAACGGATGCGCAAGTGGCATCTGGCGCAGGGAACGGCGACAAGACGAATGACGGCAGAATGGCTTAGAACTGTCGCCCAAAATCGTACACCGCCTCTCGTCCAGGACGGTGTCAGCGAGCAGGCACCGCGTACCGCGTCCCGTTGTCGGGCGCTGGCGCCCATGCCGTTCAAAAAGCTGTCTTTCCGAGACTGGCACCGCATTCCCATTCCTAGGACAAGGGCAAGGCCCCCTGTGTAACCCTAGGCTGGACAGCCACCAACATAAGGCGCCAACTCAAAACAGAGTCAAGCGATGCAGTGAGCCATATCCTGCGTACCAAATAAACGTCGGAGCATTCGCCACTTGGCGTGCAATCGCTGCGCCCCACCCGCCTGCGTGCTCCTCCGTCCAGTCCTCCGCCTCCCTGGCGCGACTATGCGGGCCAGTCACGGGGCCGAGACAGGGGTCATTCTCCCCGGTGACGAATCGGCGGCCACCATGCGCTCCATCGGTGCGCCACCACCGTGGGACGCCGCGGCTGAGCGCGAGGCTCCCGCCGATGGCACCTCCCATGGAGGGTGGCTGACGGTCGTGTGGGACCTCACATGGCGGGCGGCTGACGGTCGTGTGAGACCTCTCATGGAGGGTGGCTGACGGTCGTTTGAGACCTCACATGGCGGGCGGCTGTCGGTCGTTTGAGACCTTTCATGGAGGGCGGCTGACGGTCGTTTGAGACCTCACATGGAGGGTGGCTGACGGTAGTTTGGGACCTCGCATGGAAGGCGCCTGACAGTCGTTTGGGACCTCACATGGAGGGTGGCTGACGGTAGTTTGGGACCTCGCATGGAGGGTACCTGACAGTCGTTTGGGACCTCACATGGAGGGCGGCTGACGGTCATTTGGGACCTCACATGGAGGGTGGCTGACGGTTGTTTGGGATCCCTCATGGAGGGCGGCTGACGGTCGTTTGGGACCTCACATGGCGGGCGCCTGACGGCGGCTTGAGACCTCCGATCCCGCCTCCGCCACGCGTTGGCGGAACGCAGCCTGGCCGCCGCAGAAAACATGATCCGACCGCGGAAGCGGAGGAGAGCCGGCGGGTTTTCACAGGTGCGAGTCGAAGACAGCAGCATGCGGCGCGGACGGTCGGCCCGACGGACACGGAAGGAGGGGGACGGGTCCCCCCTAGTCGCGGCAGCTGAGTGGACATTCAGTCAGTTCACCAGACCCAACAGCAGCACATCGCGTCCGAAGACGAAGTACGAAAGCTGGGCCAGCGGAACGACGCCGGAACGATGGTTACATGTCCTGGAACGATGGTTACATGTCCTGTAGCGGGGTTACATGGCAGCTATCTGCGTGCCAAGCTAAACGCCCGAGAGCAACGACTAGAACTGGGCAGCGTGGTCAACACACGAAATTTGAAGGCCGCGCGTGGACAATGGAAGTGGGGACGCCGCTGCTGACCTTCCAGCAAGCCAAACAGAAACAAGGAAAGTTTTAGCTGAATGCAGTCAACAACAGACGGGGGAGGGCCTGTTATCTTCCCAGCCAAAGCGGCTACGATCCTAGGTCAGGACATAGCATTTTATTTCAGTCCTGCGGGTCAGCGGATACTTCAATTTCGCGCAAAATTAAGAGGCGGCAGACGGCGGCCTTGGCCAACGCAGATCTCCGCATCGACGGCGGCACCGCGGCGCACGCCCACCCAGATAAACCGGCCGACAGATTTGACCCTGATCCGTATTCTCGGATGCATCTTACGTCGCTGCTGGCTGGGTAATGGCCCGTGGTTTTTGCGGCAAAGTCCACGGCTCCCGCAACCGCTTCAGCGGGGGGCCCGCGATATCAGCTGAAGCCGGCAGCACTCAGGAATGGAGTCAGCCTCCGACGAGTGACGGACGGTGGTGATTTAGCGCCACGTCTGACATGGCCCGGTCAACAGACGGAACCTGTGACGCACAGCCGTCAACCTTGACCTTCCAGAAATACGCGACCGACCCGGTGCATGGTTCAACGAACGCCGCGCCCGCGCCCCAGATGCCGACCATCGCAAACAGCCCGCTGTGGAAATGCCTGGCTAGTAGTCTGGCCACACCACCGGAATGAAAACACGGTTCTGGACGAATACTGCGGTCTTGGCCCTCCCATAGTCGCCCACTCCTGTCCTGGTTGGCTCCGCGACCTAACGTGGCCCCGGTCATACAAGCCCTCATCGAGCAGGACACCAACGACGCCCCTCGGTATCCCAGGCAGCTTTTGTCCTGACGGACGTGTGGTCCACACAGTCCCGGCTTCCGGACTTGTGTCCGGACGGCCGCGTGGTCCACACAGTCCCGGCTTCAGGACTCGGGCGGCTTACCGAGCAGGGCGCCGGAGAAGCTCTTGGCGAGGCCGGCCGTCAGGTCGTAGATGTAGACGGTGACGTCGGAGGCAGCCTCGTCGTCGGACATGGCGGCCGCCCGCTGCCGGGGTCTCCCGCCTGCCTGGCCACAAACGCCCGGTCAGAGGGACTGCGTGTGCCGGCCGCCTGCCCCGCCGGCCGGCCTGACGGCGATCGGGGCGCGCTCGGGACACGGACGCGCGTGCGGCGCCGGATGACCTGCCGTCAGGTCACGAGGGGCCAGTGCTGGGAGATAGGGCTCCGGATGGGTGTCGACTCCTGGTGCTGTTGTCCTCGTCTGGCGTCGTTGTCCTCGTCTCGTTTGTTTGTGTACAACGTTTCCGCTAGATAACTTTCCAGCCGTCGCCAGGTGTTACTGCACTCTGAGGCGGACTGGATAACGTTTGGCCTTCAGCTATGTACGCGTCAAAACCGGAAGTCGAGGGCTGGACCGGGGAGGGAACCGGTCCTCCCCAGCTATCTCGGTTGGTAAAGCAATGAACTCGTAATCAGTGGACCCCGGTCCAAATCCCGCCAGTTGCACGGAGATAACTCGGGTTGTGATGCGTACGAGGCAGAAAGCCAAACATCATCTCGTCGTTCTAAATGCTCCACAACGCCAGACGAGGGACAGAGACTTCCCTGGCCAAAACGAACACATCTAAACACGCCAGATGGGGACAATAATCTGAACAACCACTCCACACGTGAAACTAGCAGGTTTCGTCTCAATACCTCCATAAATCGGTCTGTCACGTTTGTCACCGCAGTTTATCGCCACCGTCGGAGACAAACAAAGCCCTGCCAGCCCGGCGCTCCAGCCGCCGGGGCTGTGTTGCTTCGCTGCATGTGTCTGCAGTGGCTGGAGACGGTCGGTCCGCGGTAATAGGGACGAACGCACTGGTATTTGGTGGTCTACGGGCAATGTGATAAGTGATAATACGCTAAATCACGAGCGAAATCTGCAGGGAAGCCCAGCTCCCAAAATATATAGTTACTCACTTCGAATCCTTCATATGTCTTGTGAGCATCAGATTATCACCATTTTACATTTTAACACACATTATGCCTAAGGATACAATACATTGCAGTGGGGGGGGTTCATCGTCCACCAGCATAACACGGACAGAAATACATCGCTAAGACTGGTTGTGTTGGTCACAACGACTACGGCATTTGGGGACAGCGGGAGCCGGCTCTCCTCTACTCAAGCAAAGACATTGTTAAGTGAGGGATGACAGGTGATGATAACAAGTAATGGACATAAGACCGGCGTCACGAAAGCAAATAGCTAGTCTCAATGAAAGCAATCAACTGAGATGGCAGTGCCAGCCAACGTTCTAATCACATACTCAGCACGGCAGCAACGAGTTACCAGATTCGTGGGATGTCCGCACGACACGTGGGACAAATATGCATGGATAGGGTAATAAGTCAGTTCCAGCAGGGTGACCGGGAGAGAATATCTCTGTCATTCAATCATCACTAAAATGTTCAGACTGTATGGTCCGTAAGATTAGGTAGGCGAATGAGGAGACAGTTTACGCTATGGCCGATGCATCCGTGCAGACAGCTGCTGATCAGCTTACAACACTGATTAACTGATGTTTGGTGAAAACTCGGGACAGATCGTGTTGCAGCACAAACAGCTGCTGATCGTAGGTACACACCACTAAATAGGTGTCTTTTGGTGCACAGTTACGCAAACAGGGATCGGATCAGTGCAGTGCTCTGGATAGCGGACGATTGGTGGATGACACCAAACAGCTGTCGACGGGCGCTGAGCATCAACAGACGCAGCTACTGGCCATTGCAGACTCGCAGCGGCACAGAGTAACACACAGCAGCACACAACGATACACCACCTCATGTCTAACCCAACCACGGACGGCTGAGCGCCTATCAGCACATGGCACTGCAGACAGCTGTCCACCAGCCGCACACACCAGCCGTGGTGAGCACACATCCCCCGTCCAGGCACTGAGCGCAGTCCCTGCGCTGTCGGCCCACCTGTGACCGCGGTCGCCGCGCTCAGCACGCTCGCAGTGACCGGTCGCGTGAGCGCGCACTCTCCCCTCGCTCTCTCTCGTGGCCGGCCAGCGGGCCGAGTGACGCCCGCCGGCCGGCCGAGCGGCCCCCGCGGTCCGGCCCGGCCCCGCCGCCGCCGAAATAGACGCGCCCGCCGATCCGTCTCGTGCGCCGCCGACGGAGGCACCCGGCAGGTGGGCGCGTGCCACCGGCGCCGGCCACCTGGGGCCCGTGTCATCGGATGTTTACAGGCGAACCCGAGTGTTCTGTGCGTGTTGTGAGGGTTTTGAAACAAGCGGGCGTGTCTTGAGTTGAATTTCGGTCATTGAGCAGCACCCTCGAATGGGTTTAGAGGTCGAGTGCTTGTTTCCTAGGTGTAGTGAGTTCCCGGAAGGTGGGAGGGGTGTCAAGTTCAGGAAACAGAGCTGTCTTTGAATACCTCAACAATTTAATGCACCTGTCTGTCCTCAGGTTTGGTTTTCTCAAAGCAGGTGGCACCTCTGTTGGTGTCTTTAAAACAGCAAATGGGTTTGTTTGAAGCCCTTTGAAAACAAACAGATTCTGGAAAATGTCAGGACACGTTTGCCACAACCAGCTGTGTTACTGGATCCAGGTACCATTATGCCTACATCGCATAGTGAGTTGAACCACGTGCCTGGCAAGCAAAGCAGGGACACTTTAAGAACATCATAGGAGCAAATGCCCAGACAGGACTCAAAGGGCACAGCTCAACTAAGAGATCCAGCATAGGACCTGGTCCTTGTATGGGTTACATGAAAGGCTGTGACAATGCCTTTCAGAGGTTGAACAGAATAACATTACAATAGGAGATAATTATCGGGAGGTTCAAAGTATGTATGATACAAATGACCATATGAAAACTCAAAGAGAATTTTTCACATTTGAAGATATTGAAACAAGCATCAGATATTATGAAACAAGCATCAGATATTATGAAACAAGCATCAGATATTATGAAACAAGCTCACTTATAACTACTGGTGTACACATTTTAAAGCAGGACATGAAACTAACTAGCTTAACACTGACTTCTTCTGATGTGCTGAAAATTTTTAGCAAGACTTCTTATTTATTGTAAGATTTAGTTCTAAGCTTTTCATTGGCATGGGGAATAGGCTCCACTTTGTAAATATGCTCACCAAGGTGTCATGGCTTGATACATGACCCTACTTCGCACAATATTGATCAAAAGCCAATTGACAGTTATCTCTGAAAATTACACTTGCAAATGAAAGCCAGATATGAATATCATTATATTTTCATGTTGATTGCCATATAGCTTATAGAAAGGCAGGATTTTAATGATGTTCCTATAATGTCATGAACACCAAGGTGCCCTCAAAATAGTCTCCCTGATATACCTTTCTAAGCCTTTCCCATTGCTGTGGGTGTGTAGCTGTCATAAAAGGCAACACAGCCTGTGCATCATTAGTAAAAAAAGCACCTAAGCCTTTTTGCCTTTGCATGGCTAGGCTCAACTAGAAAGGGCAGGATTGTGAACATCATGAAAAGTCTATAAGATGGCTAGTTCAAAAAGAGATCAAAACCCCACATAAATGTGGAACACCTCCTTTAAAACAATCAGCATAAAATACAGCAATTGAATAAATCCACTTTTACTTTATCCATACTTAGTGATATGTTTCTCTTCATTAATTATCTCTTTATGAATTATCTCTATGAATTATCTCTTGATTTATGATATCTTCTATTTATGAATTATGGTTGAATCTAAGAAGTTCAGAGGCAAAGATGCCTACAATAGAGGCATTACAGCTACAGCTCCATGCAGACTTGATTGGTACATCTGAAGAAAATCACAAATGTTTATGACAGAGAGAGCAAAACAATATATCTAGTGTTGAACTTATCAATAGCTGTACATGTGAAAAATGATTCTTCTCTTTTCATTGTGTTGCTTATATAAGCATTTTAAAACAGAACATGAAACTAATTAGTTTAACACTGATGCTTTCTGATGTGCTGAAATATTTCAGAGACTGCTTGTTTACTGCAAGATTTAGTACTACCTTTTCATTGGCAAAACCTATACATCATTGGTGGTTGGATCAGAAGGCAGGTATCCTTACCAACCCTGAGCTCTGGTCCCGAGGAAGATGGCCACATAGTCAAAGCACTTTTATTGTTTGAGTTAATTGTTACAGCCTGTGGAATTATTACACATTGCAAGGAAGTGAAATATTTCAGGTGGCAGGGATTTAACAGTGTTGAGAACCTGCACATGTCAGCCAGAAATTCTTGGATTATTTATGAAAATGTGGAATATCATTAACACTTCAAGTGCTCCCAAACTTGACACTAGATCTTGTTGACATCATTTTCTTATCATTGACAACCTGGAGCTGCTAGACAGGCAAGGCAAGCCCATACCCAATTGCCAGATGCTTATAAGCAGAATTATCGGAAAAGCCTTAACCTATCCACGGGAATTTCGCGAACCCTGGTCGTACCGCACTGGGTGTAAACATCGCACGGATCACATGGATATAAAGACCTTCAAGTGATCCACAATTCAACAACTTTCACAACACATCCATAACTGTTCCCTGGACGCATGTACACCGCAAACTTACCGTGTGAAGCAGCCTAGCAGCGCCCAGCCCCCGCCCGCCCGCCGCCGCCTTCTGCTGACTAGAACGTCCGGTACGGCGTCCAGGCACGCGAATGCACGCGGTCCGGCGCCCTCAGCCGGCTTTACCAAGCTTTACCAGGCATCACGAATATGCACCTGACTCAGCGCGACGAACACGGCGCAGACCAGCCTTGGAGTTTTAACGAAAAGTTCTAGATGTGTTCAGGCCGATTGCCATACCGCGCGCGGGCTTGTCAAGTCACGGCAACACATGCCTAATCTCACATAGTCTTCTTAAGCTCTCTAATGACGAAATCGATGAAACGATTAGGACACCTCGCTCACCGTGCGCTGCGGTGAAAAAGGAGATAGCCAGAAGTGGTCACTGCTGAAATGTAGGGCCGTGGAAATGTCCATGCAGTGTACGCAGACTGGCTCCACCGGTCGGGAGTCTTTGAAAAATGGTGACCGTGATAAACTGACAGCAAGAGTCATCAAAGAGCCATGCAGATGCAGACGCAGAAAGCAATGCCCAAAAAACCGGGAATCTGGATATCAGTGTCAACTGGCATGGCCATCACACAAACATGAAATAGAAAGAGAAATCAGGGTCAAAACATGTGATCATGACTGGTTTTTATTACGCACCGAGAGTCATAACCAGAAGAGCTCACTAAGGCGCATGACGTCCAGAGTAATGCCAACTAAAACGGCAGATGCTTCTCCCGCCATCAGGCGATCAGATTGCGAACCTCAGCTTCGTTCCTGAACCGCCGGGTGGCACATATGTCCGCTCGGATGCCGGCACATCTGCAGCTGCGTCCCCGCGGTAAAATCATACCACCCGCATTATTCTCATCGCGATCACACCGAGAACACAAGCCCGCACCAAACGCACACTATAAAACCGCATTTGACACGGCGCAGACTTAAGGTGGCGCCGGCGCCGACGCACTGGCCGCGAGTGGGCAGCCAACCCCGATCACAGGCATATCCGCGCTCCCGCCGCACCGCACCTAGGCCATGTACTTGAACTTGTTTATATCGTCCGGATCCCGGCGCATGTACTTGTTCTCGATTAGCCACTCGATCTGTTCCTTGATCATCTTTTTACTCGGCAGAAACATGTTCTTGAGGATCTCGATGAGTTCGGTCTGTAGCTGCGCGTTCGTCGTCGCCTTCCGCATCTTCATGATCTTGACGATGGCCTCCTGGGTACGCAGGATGCGCAGCTGTATGATGCCGTCGTTCTCCTCCTCGCGCGACTTCTCCGTGCTCAGCTGGAGCCGGCCAATGACATTGACCTTGCCCCGCGGCATCGGCTTGCCGTTCTTGACGACGGCGAACTCCTGGTTGACCCAGAAGAGCGAGTCCTCGCCAAAGTCCTTGGCCGAATGCACCTGTGACGGGTAGCGAGACGCCCAGTCAGAGAACATTGACATTGTAGGGAGTGCCGTACATAACGCCACTTTTCCATTCACTCGACATCATCTACAGCAGCCACATGCAAGTTATTTTATTCTGGCAGGTCAAACATCAAAACACGCCTACATCCGGAAAACGTATTTAAGAACTGCGCCAGATATGCACCACATACATTCTGCACGTACTTGATCATGGTAAATCAAGGTGAATTATGTAAAGAAAATAAGGTAATCTGCTAGCATTGCAGTTCTAAGGGCCTCAGACAGTTGTATGGGTGATTTTTTGTCGACAAGCCTCACTGTTACGGCAAAGGGACATCCGCAGCCTCCGTCCTCTGCCCTCTGTCATCTGTCCTCTGCCCTCTGTCCTCTCTCCTCAGCCCTGTCCCTGTCCCTGTCCCTGTCCCCTGTCCCCTGTCCCCTGTCCCCTGTCCTCCGTCCTCTGTATTCTGTCGTATGTGCTCTGCCCCTGCCCCCCCCCCCCCCCCCCCCCGCCTCCTGTCCTGTCCTCCATCCCATCTCCCGTCACTCACCCCTCGTCCCTTGTCTCCCCGTCACGCACCCCGAGTCCCCCTGTCCCCATCTCCCGTCGCCTCGCCGCCGAGCGACACACCTCTGGGCTGTGGCACAGCAGCTGCCGCTTCAGCTTGCTGCAGGCCACCAGGGTCCAGAGCGTGCGCCGCAGCTCGGCGTCCGGCAGCTCGGTGGCTAGCCGCAGGTTCTCCAGCGAGATGCGCTCGTCGGGCCTCTGGTTCCAGGCGAACAGCACCGCCATCTGGAATGTGGTGATGTCCACGTCGTACCGGCCCTGCGGACGAGGTCAGATCAGGTCAGGTCACGTCACGTCAGGTCACGTCACATCGCGTCACGTCAGCGGGTGCAGCGGCACAGGGCACGTGCTGGCGGGGCTTCGACCGGCAGTGCGGTTCCGTTCTGCCCGCGGGGCGAGGTTGTGACATCTCTTGGACTTGCGTGGTTGCGCTGGAGAGGTACGGCCAGGGCCGGCTGAGGTCAGTGACAAGGCAGGTCAGGTCCGTCCGTCGCTGGCTAT